TATATATATATAGAGAGAGAGAGAGAGAGAGAGAGAGAGAGAGAGTGAGAGAGTGCAATATTCATTACTCATAAATGACACAATTTAGTTACAGAAAATTAAATAATATATGAATAAAATGAGTGTGAGAAACAGGATTGAAAATCAAGACGATATTCCTGTTCTCAGTCATTATAAAATTTATGAGAAGAAAATATATTGCGCTATATAACCTCTTCTTTAATTTCATACGACTTGAACCAGCTTGAACCGTCTCCTCATTTTCTCGATATAAACCATACATCGTTCCGACATAGGCTGATCTTCACGCCTTAGTGCGAAATAGACCACTTTTTATTCATAATTCATTTCTTGACATAAACCTTTCTTCATGTTTTTCTTGATATAGCACTTTCTATAGCTCAGGCGTCGATATTCTTAGGGTCTGAGCACAAGAATTATCGTAACACTTACTTAGAAACTTAAATTATGAGAGAGACTTAGATATAAGTAACGCACAAGCTTTCACGTTTGACAACTTATTGTCATGTCTCCAAGAGATATAAATCGCCTAAGCTTGTGCGTTACTTATGTCTACAATTTAAGTCTCTAAAGCCCATTCTACAATGGGCAATAGCAAATGGATTAAGGAGTAGGCGTAGAAATCAACCAATCATAATCGAATGTGAGAAGGATAATCAATTATGATTAGTCGATTTCTATACCTACTCTTTAATCCACTACTGCCCATTGTAGAATGGGCTAAGTAAATGTTACGACATTCTTGTGCTCAGACCTTATTCGTATGATCTTATATCCCTACGCACGCGATGCGTGTGGGTCTTGCGGATTAAATTATTATATCTCTGCTCTTTCAATAAAAAAAAAAGGCGATGAAAGGTAGATGCGAGCGTGTAAGATATTACAATGCTGTATTTATAAACTTGACGTTGAAACATTCGCCGCTTCTTTCGCAAATAATACAGAAGGTGAATAACTTTAGTAAACTTTATTGAAACTATCGTAGAACGTAATATGATTTAATATACAAAAAATTCGACTTTCTTCTTTATTCTTACATATTTACTTGGGTAAACTATAACTTTTTATTTTCTGTTGTTGCAAGTCTTCCTCTTCTTTTATAGTTAAGATAAATAAAACGGAAGCCACTGCACTCTCGGAAAATATCGAACTTGGCTGCTGTTATGCAGGGTGGGCGCCGCGCCGCGAAGAGAAGAGCGGCAGTTAAGGGGAGAGCAACGAATAGAAATGCGCGAGAGAGTTGTAAAAAATAACGCAGTTAATTAGCAGTGAGGCCACTTTAACGGGCTCGCGCACACTGTTAACAAGCGCGGAGAATAACTCGCGCGGACGCAAAAAAAAAAAACACCCTTGAAGTTGCCACGAGGCAACTGAAACTGACTGAAATGCTCCCGGAGAGAGCGGCCAGACTCCTTCCGCATCTGTTTATACTTATCTCTTTCTCGCTTTCTTTCTTTTCTCTTACGATTCACAAATTCTCTACTGGCATTTTTCGTGTTGAAAAAAAAAATCTTTTTCTCTTTTTCTTATTAGCATCACGAGCATGGATTATTCCATTTGCAAAGCAAGAATTTTATGTAGTAAGTACGAGTTAATACATATTAGTAACTGAATTGTCGCGCGGTTTCCAACAAATGAATAAACTCGCATTCTTGGAATCGAGTCTGTATCTTGAAACGAGATGAAAATTACAAAAGCGAATTTACTAGAATACTGATAATTTTATTGGTCAACACCTAATAAATTTGCTCACTTTTGTAATTTTCACCTTGTTTGAAGATATAGAATCGACCCCCTCATGTATTTGTATAAATGATATAATTAAAATAACTTTCTTTTTATATATATATTTGATTTAAATAAGTCTTATTAATTTAGAGGTCAATCGTCCTCTTACATATATGATACCAAAAACTGACAATTAATATTTGTTAAAAATTAATCTGCGAGGTACAAAATTGATGTGATGTTTCAAAATGTGCATGTTGAAAGATTTGTTTTGTATCCTTTTTGGCTTGTCGCGGCTAAAATGTTTGTCTTAAGATTGTAGGTTTGCTGCATGCGTGCATACTCAGGAAGAAGTATTTTCTTCAAAGAGAGAGATAGAGAGAGAGAAAGAGAGAGAGAGAGAGAGAGAGAGAGAGAGAAAGAGAGAGAGAGATGGAAAAAAGTAGTGAAGATTTTGACCTTCGCGAGTTGTCACACGCACAATCGCGAAAGATAAAAAAACGATTCTCTTTCCAGAATATAATCCCTTCTGTCTTCCCCCTTTTCCTGTGGACAATGATCTGGGCTAAGGAGAAATTGAATTTGTAACATCAGTAAACTGCGCGACTTTGCCGTTGCTCCCTCAATCAAAACTGAGTGAAAAACGGAATGAAGATGAGAGAGAGAGAGAGAGAGAGAGAGAGAGAGAAAGAGAGAATAAGAAGTAGTGAGACAAGTCTCCAACATCTCAGGAAAGGGACGAAAAGTCTAAGCGGGCGAGAGATGAAGAGAAAGAGAGAGAAGGAGGGCGGATCGTGTTTCACGCCTGGCGGATCTTGAACCGTTTGAAACCCAGGTGGAAATAATACAACTTTGTGTTCCTTGTTAAGGATCAAAGGAAATCTACCCCCAATCTCGATGTCGAGACTCTTGGCTGGTCTCTCGCCGATTCTCCATTTGCCTCTCTTTCGCTTTCTGTCCTTTCATGACCGAATGAAACTTAGACAAAACATTTGTTCACCAAGCATTTTATTTTATTTGATAACTTTCAATAATAATATGTAAAATGAAATTGTGTGTGATAAAAGCTTCTTTGCCTTTTTTTTATAAATCAAATTATAATTTTAAATTGAATATATTCGAAATTATTATCAGTCAAATCATTATAATATGAGACAGGCAATTAAGTCAAAGTTGGATGTGTTTCAAATATTACATTATTATCTACATATTTATTAAATAAATTTATTTCAGATTGCTATTTCATGATTGTCTATAATTTTCCAACTTTCAACACAATTAACACTAATAAAATTGAAATACTAATAATCCTTCCTAAATTGTATTAAATTAGAAAAATCTGTAAAGAACTTATTGCCAAAAATATTGTTTCAATATAATACAGATTTAAGGGGGCTACTTTGAAGTCAATGCGGTAAGAGGTGCGCAATCTACACTTATATAATCATTAATAGTATAATGTATATTAAAAGATGTTAATTTGAACGTTTCGGCTATCGGTTTTAGTCAGCTTCAGCAAATACATAATTAATATATTAACAAAGAATATTTTCTAGTCGGAAAATGAGATAGAAAATATTCTTTGTTAATATATTATGTATTTTATTAGATTGCGCACACCTCTTATCGCGTTGACTCCAAAATAATTCCCTTAAATCTGTATTATATTTTTACAATTATTAGGAGTCTTACTTTATATACATCCTTTATTCTAAATTGTCAATATTGTTTATTTTGTCAATATTATTGTTTCAGCCAGGAATCAAACCTGGAATTTCCCGACTTTTCAGGGAGAGGGAGGGAGGGTATCAAATCATTATGTATTTGGAATTATAGTCAATAATTAATTACAAATCTGTAAATAATAAAACAAAATTGTACTTTTATATAATAAAATCAAACAAGAGCAATATTTTGTCATATGATTTTTTTCATTTATTTACAGTCATTTATATTACACTATTAGTATCTATCGTATCATATATTTTGATATTTTCTGTTTATTTATTATTTATTGCTTGCATCATATATTTATATTAAGATAACTATATTTTCATAATAGATTAGACAGAGACATATCATATTATTATATTGTGTGTTATTTTAATATTATATTATATTTGAATGTAATAAATAAAATCAGACTGAATGTTACATTTGAGATAATATATATTTTTTGTTATCCCACATAGAAATTTTCCATGTAGTATTATAATACTTGTTACACTATAATAGTTGTAAATTATAAGCTACATAATTTTCTCTTTTCTTTGTATAACGTGACCTTTTGAACTGCAAAAAGAAATCATAAATTAGTTTCAAATATCAAATAATATTTCATAATGTACAGTCTAATGTATATTATAATTACTATTTTTATATTATTTTTAAAAATTATATATATTAATTATTATTAAAGAAAAATATAATATATGCAAATGTTTTTATAGAATATATTGAACATTCGTATACACATTAGACGATACAATTCTTTTATTCAATTGTGTTCTTTCCTTTATTATTATTGTAATTAACATACATAATCTTATACGTATGTGTATATAATCACTTACTAAGAGGATCAAAGGATGTAAATTCTAATTTATCAGCTAATCTATCTCTGATACGCACCAACCGATGACTGGTTACAACACTTTGTGTAAGGACTAAGACATGCCTATAATGAGATTAGAATTAATAATAATTTTTTAATCATATTATGTTAACATATTATGTCTAATCTCATCTTTTAATTGACACTTAGTAAATCACTTAATAAATCAATTTTTTTCATAAAATGTGAATTAAGGTACATATTTTATATTATTCCCATTAAAAATTGACATGAATATACATTCTAACCTTAAATTTTTATTTGGTTTTATTAATAGCTTTACTTACTTGCTCTTTGCCTTTTTTAACAGCATGTTTGTCAGGAACATGGTATTTCAAAAATTTCTTTCAGTGCAACTTTAAAACTATGTGCAGTATACTGTGAATAAATGTCACGAGATTACAGTAAATACAACAATACAATTGATTCGCTCACTTGAAAGAAGAGGTTAGAAATCACGTCCAAGTCACACGTATACACATATACATCCATATACATGTGCATACTCGCTGACACCAACTGGACATTTTTATAAACGTCCAGCTGTCGTAAAGTTATCGCAAGATATTAATGCATATAATGAATCTTTTTTAACAATTACAGGCAATATAGCAATCTTTCATCGTTTTTATACTTGTTGATAAAGAAATATGTGCGATTAATATGATATCTTTTTTTCTCTACAATTATCTCTCTTTTCCTTTAAACAAAAAAGGCGCATTCACACACGCACACGCACACACACACACACACACGCGCGAGCGCGCGCGCACTTTTTTATTCATACACATATATACATATTTGTTTAATTTAAAAGTTGTAATAAATAAATTAAAAAGATCATAAAACTGTATAAAAACAGTGGAAACAATTTGAAATGTGTCAAAATTTTCAAAAGATGAAATTAGATATATTATCAATTAAGAAAAATTTAATATTAATTTCGCAAACTACTGTATAAATATAATTTTTTATCAAGTTTTAAATATGAAATTAATAAACGCATTTAAATAAATCTATGAGGCGTCCATGTAGATAGATAGATTATATATAATTATATATACACACGTATAAGTATTTTTATTATAATTATAATTTATTGGATATACATAAACATAGTTTATCCAGAAGTTATTTTTTTCAATGAGCTTTATTAATAAACATACACTAAAATCAGAGGCAATGCACAAATATTGTCAGCAGTTTTACTTAATAAATATAGCAAACTCCTTATATAATTTACTCTACTCTAATTTCTTAAGTAATAAATCCATCGATATTCTTTTTTGAAAATAGTCTCACAACAAAATATTATTCACATTAATAGTATCATTGCATTTTATTGAAACAATCCTTTAAATCAATATATAATACAGTAATTATAATTTATTAATATAAGCAATAAACTAGGAAAAGAAAATATAAAATGTTGCATATATATGTATATTACCATTTGTTATATTTTATTTTATACTTCATAGTTTCATCATATTTACTAAAAATGCTCTGTGAAGCGTGAAGAACAAATAGTAATGTCATAAATTACATATAATAAAATGCATGCTCTTTTTTTATCATAATATAGATGTAAATGTGCAAATTAAGATCTTCAAACTTAAATAGCACAATAGTTTCACTATTAGGTAAAAATGCAGAGATATCCAAAATATAATTTATCGGAATATATAAATTAAGACGCTATCTTAACTTTATCATTGGCTAAAATTTCTAATCGATTAATCACTTTAGCAAGGTCAACATTTTTATCTAATTTCAAATAATCCACCTTTCGTACGTTATGTATACTGGCCCACGTAGGTAAAAGCTTGCACAGTTGTCGTATGTGTTCCTCCATTTCTTGTAACATTAATTTCGTTCTAAAAGAATTGTCTAACTTTTGTATGACTATCTCCAGTGGTAAAACGCCCTTCTTTTCTGTCACGAAAATATTGCGAATGAGCTTTGCTAATTCGGGAAGTCTGGAATATAATACAGCCTCTTTGTCTGCGTTTGGTGTTCTCGTCATTGCTTCTAATGCCTTGGCTGCTTGTTTAGCACGAACCTATAATTATGAAAGTTTAGGAGAAGAACAAGGTGGTAATTAGTTTTTAAAACACAAATAAAATCGCAAACGTTGAGTATCAACTACCATTTCAAAGCAATTATTCTTACCTTTTCGAGCAAAGCCTTAGGGATGCCTTTAAATAGTGTTGCGAAATGATCAGTTTGTATGGATGGTGTATTTGGTGGATTGTCCACAATGGCAATGTTAACCTTTGGAATATCATCTTTTGTTGTTTGGGTTGTAGAATCTTGTGTAGAAAGTGAAGATTTGGATTTAGTAGTTAGATTTGCTTCAGCGAGCCTTTGCAATGCCTTTTCCATACGTGTACCACAATTAAACAAAGATTTAGCTTTGTCTGTAAAAAAATAAATAAATAAATAACACGAATGAAAAATATTCATGTGTAAATATGTTATAACTATTTTGCCAGACCACATTAATTAAAAAAAGAAGAGAACCTACATATTCTACGAATAATTTGATCCTTTTGAAGTGACACTTTAAATCCATTCTCTACAGTTAATTTATTAATTAAGTATTGGGTTGGGTAGCGCATAATGCAAGGATGTATAATGTAACTGCTTAAGTATTACGCATAAGCAATACCTTTATACCGATTGCGTTATATGCTGATTAATCAATAAAGTTTTGCAACAGCAAAACCGAATTTCACAACTACGCAAACGCATTGTTATTTTGCAACCTTTTGTGCAGTTTTTTGTCCTACTTAAAATTGTCATCCAAATTAAGACCATATTATATCATTAAGTGTGATACATGCATATAATATACAATAATAAAACTATATACTCTGCATTTTTTATATTATCCTGATCTTATGAATTTTTGTAGTAGGCATATAAATTACAATAATTTAGTTTCAATAATTTTTTTTATAATAGCAATGGAGAATAAAATTTGTTCATACAAAATTCTTATTACTACCATCAATGTCATAACTCTTACCAAGAACATCCCTAGCAGTTGGTTTTTCAACATAAGGTGGTTGTGGTAATGCAGCTTGCTCAATTTTCTTGCAAGATTCCACATCAAATTCGGGATGCCAGCGTACTATTTTCTCTCTTGGTATATTCATTAATTTTGGAGTTTCAAAGGTTAATAAAAATTTTTCATGTTCATTCTTTACCCTCTCTGTAACAATAAATTTAAAGATACGTGTGTGTGTGTGTGTGTGTATGTATTATATGATTGGTGATGATTAAATTCATTTGAAAAGAATAATATGTACCTAATAAAGCATTATAAAATTTCTTCCTTCTTTCCAGCAGTATGGTAGGGCTCATACTACTTTCAGCCGCAGCTTTTAATATGTTATCTACATCAGGCGTATTTCTCCCATTAATTTTTTCAACCGTAGGTGTTAGAACTAATTCATATTTTTCTTGCTTGGACACTGAACCAAAATTTCGATGTTTCTCTTGATGGTACACATAAGCATCAGGATAAATAGTTTTTATTTGAGCTAGGTGCTCTTGCGTAAAATTACGACGTAGCAATTCTTGAACTGCAGGTCTCAGTTTATTAAATGTTATCAATTCTTTTCTGTTAAACAGCATTGCTGAAACCTAAAGACAAAATTGATTGCTTGACATGTTTTTTATATCATAAACATAAATTTAAACGACAAAATAATTAACAATATACAAAGTAAAAATTAAAGTCTGTAAAGTAAAAGTTAAAGTAAAAATACATATTAACAGATTCATAAGGATACTACCGTATCTATGCATCTGAATACTTCAGCTAGGAATCTATAATCATATGGCAATGCTAATCCAGATTCAGCCACTGACAGATATTTCTGATATGCCTTAATAGGACTGGATTTTCCTGGACTTGACACTGTTTCTTTAGGCTCAAACAAAATTTGCCTCTGTGGACTGGCTGTCTTTGACAAATCTCTCTCCTTGATTGGAGTAAGTAATCCCTTGATTGGGGATTTATATGTCTTTTGTGGACTTTGTATGACAAAAAAAAAAAGAAAATGATAGGACATCTATATACATATACATATAATATATACATATATTTGATAATATATATATTTCATAATTATATATTTGATAATTATATATTTATATAATTTGATATATATATATATATTTGATATATATTTGATAATTAAATTCACAAATAAGATCTTTACCTTACGGGTATTTCGAGTTCCACCTTCTCAAACTTTTGCATATAAGGTTTCTTAATCTCATCTTGTTTTTGCAATTGTTCCAATGCCAGATCATACTTTGCAAATTGTTGCGTTATAGCTTTCAGCTCTGCCAATCTGGAAGATTTGTTAATTCTGTTTTTGATGTCGGTCAAGTTTAAATTTTCATTTTTTACAAATCTCTCCATCGTCGAAAGTTTTCTTGACGAGGATGGAATGAGAGAGCCGTTGGCAAAATGTTCCTTTTCAGTTTCTTTCATCGCGTTATCCTTCAATGTCTTCTTAGTTGTCTGCGACTTCCTCGGACTAAGCGTACCTTTCTTCTCAAACGGAACTTTTTTTATCTCTGAAGAATCATTGCCCACCTTCAAAAAGCTATCTCTAATATCCGCTTGATTTCCATCCATAGAGGGCAATGGACGAGAGCGAGTGGCTCGTGTTTTAGGTCTATTCGTTTTCTCAGGGAACGTTTTCGAAGAATCGAATTGGATATTACGGACCGCTTTATTAATCCGAACGCCTTCCTTCAACATCGTGGTAGCATTCTGCAACACGATTTTCGGACTAGTTCCCGTATTTGTCGGAGATTTTTCCAAATTCTCGATACTCGTTTGCGTCTGATTATCTCGCTCCAGCAGCAAAATCTTCGCCTTGGAACGTAATTCGTCGCACCCTTGCCGTTTGCGCGTATTAAAGTATGCCGTTACTGATGGTTGCGACATAGTCTCTTTTACGTATGTCAATCGCAAACGCGAACAAATATTATTTTCACAAACGTACCACGTATTGCGTACCGTTACCCCCAATGTAACCCTACCAGAGCCAAAGCCCGCCTTTTTAACTCTCGTTGTTTAGATTCGTTGGCGCGAAACAACGCCGCTAGGCCGTTAGTCAGCTGATAGCAACTAAAAACGTTATTGACATATGCAACATAGGTCTAGTTTCCACCGAGAGTTTAAATCAGATAAGAACCAACTACAGTCAAGCATTCCCTGTCGTCCGACTGTAACAGGGGAATACTCGACTGTAGTTGATTGGTTCTTACATTCTAATTCAGTTTCCGATTTAAACTCTCGGTGGAAACTAGGCCATAGACTAACAATGATGAAGAAGCGCAAAAGCCAGTGGTCTGTTTTCTGTTCCTGCATTAGACTATTTCAGAACTTTCTTTCTCGCTTTAAACAAGTACCAAACATATATTTATCTCACTTTAAGTTCCAAAAGTGTTCAGCCATAGAAAACAGATTTTTGATTATTAAGTCGGAAATGAAAAGCATAGACAATAGGAACAGATAGAAGTAGAAGACTCTATTTTGCTGAGTTGAGATTCTCATTCGAATATCACCCAGGTATCACTCCATCCTTGTTGTTTATCGTACATTAAACAAGGATGACATGACATCAGGGAGTCGATCTTCAAACAAGGTAAAAATTACAAAAACAACAAATTTATTAGATATTGACCAATGAAGTTATCAATATTCTAGTAAATTCGCTCATTTTTGTAATTTTCACCGTTTCAAGATACAGAATCGATCCCTTGGGGAGCACTTAGATGGGAATCTGAACACGCTTCTTGAATTGAGTGTGTGTTACAGCGCCTCGCCACGATAAAAGGCTGAACTATTAGATGTGAAAAGTAACGTTTCGATGACGAATTTTATGTTACGTGCCATTTCGTTATTATGTACTTAATTGTGAAATTGTGACTTGTCTCGTATTTATAAAAGTAATTATTGAAGAAAACTAAAGTTATTTTGGAATTTTATATGTAAAAGCGTATTTTTCACTGGTTTCAATAGCTGTTAGACATGTGTTTCTGCTTGAATATAGGCTCGCTTTACGTGTCTTTTATCACTATTTTATCACTAATTATCAAGGAAGAAAAAGACAGTTTTGTTCGATTCTTACAAATGTTTTAAAGTGATCTTGTTATTTAGATTTATCTAAATTGTCTTTATTTACAAATGGCACGTAACATAAATTAACGTGTCATTCTTTTGACATCACGATTCCAATATAACTACTTAGGAATCTTAACCTCTAAAGTTTTACAAGAGACCATCTCGGTTTGTACAAATTAGTAAAAATCATTGATATCAGTAAAAATTGACATAAAATGTAAATTAAAAAATAAGGCAAGATTGTAAGTCGTAGCTTGATATAAGAATAAAGTATATCACTCCCGAGGATGCATAGTAAGAGAATGTATTGAGGCTAAAATTTGATTGGTTGTTTCCAGTATTGCTATCGCCATTATGCGCAATGATACATCTGATATTCTTAATATCGTGTCGTAGGTTTAAATTTAGTATTATAGTGCGTAATAAAAATTCTGGAATGGCTAATATTTAAAAAAAATATTGATTTATGTAAAAAATATTTGAAATAAAAGTAATAGAGTTTAGAAAACTATCAGATGCTGATATTAATTTGATCTTGGAATAATATTGCAAATGAAATCACTTTCCAAGGTCATCTCAAGGTCAAATTAATCATAATATCAACTTCTTAAACCCTAATTTGTTTCAAACATTTTTTTACATAAATCCAATATTTTTTGAGATATAGCCGTTTCAGAACTTTTACCACGCGTTATAATACTAAGTTTTTTGAAATCTACGATCTATATGATCTTGCCTTTTTTTTTAATTTCCACCTTATCAACTTTTATTGATATCAAGGAACCGAGATAATCCCTTGTTAAACTTCAATGCTTAATAACTTGATTCACGACTCAGGTCAACTGCCATGTTTTTCTGCCAATTTCTTGAATGAAAACACGAATGAGTATATATTTTTATTAAGATTTTAATAGGGAGGGAGGGAGTATTCTAAATAATTATCTAGATGATTTCTATTGTAATCAGATTGTTATCATTTATTAATAAGTTTATATATATTTTATATATATTTAATATTTAGTAATCTTAATCGATATTTTATTTTCTCGGATAATGTAAATAGCATTTTATAAATTGACAAATGTATATAATTATATATTTTCATGTCCGCAATAAAATAGTAAAATTATTTAAAATAAACAATATAATTTGGATTTTATTCGGTACATTATACAAGATTTGGATTAAATGTTGCAGTAGCAGTACTTAATAATGATATTTTATTTTTTAGGTAATGAATATTGCAAAAGGAATGGGGCTAACTTTTAATAAAATAAATCACTTGAAGGAATGCTTATTCTCTCCTAAACATTTATTGTACACAAATATAGGGATATCGATTTCTCTTTCTGGCATAGGAGATATTTTAGAGCAACATTATGAGATATTAAAGGTTTGTTAATCATAACTTTCATGATAGGATATTTGCATGATGATTGCTTGTTGATATTCTCTTTAGGGTAAATGGGATAAATGGAGTTTTACCAGAACGAGAAATATGTCTGTGTCTGGCATGTCTATCGGGATAATTTGTCATTACTGGTACAATTTTTTAGATACTAGAATGACTGGACGTACTATTGGTATAGTTTTAAAAAAAGTGATTATTGATCAATTAATTTGCTCACCTCTCTGTATAAGTACATTTTTTTTTACACTGGCCTTGATGGAGAATAACAGTTTGACAGAGTTTAAGAATGAAATTAGGAAAAAAGCGCATAGACTATATATAGCTGAATGGATCATTTGGCCTCCAGCACAAGTTATTAACTTTTATTTCCTTCCCACACGATACAGAGTACTTTACGATAACACGATATCTCTAGGTTATGATATCTATACTAGCCATGTAAAATATGATATGGAAACAATTAATAGATAATGCTATTTTAATTAGTAAAATATTTTTGTAAAATTACAAATTTAAGTAATAAATCA